AGAGTAAGATTATTTTAGAGTCCTATTGTGAATTGAAACAGCTATTAAGTGGAAGATGGAAGTGATGACTGTGCTCAGAGGATCCTTCTTTGTTTAAAGGTGTTACTCTAGAAACAAAATAGCAAGAGCAAGATTATTTTAGAGTCCTATTGTGAGTTGAAACAGCTGCTAAGTGGAAGACGGAAGTGACCGACTGTGCTCAGAGGATCCTTCTTTGTTTAACTGTCTTTTCTTTTAAACCTTTCTGCTTTGGAAACTCAGTGTAGCACTTCTTTGTACAAAACAAATCAAAACCACAACTTCTGCAAAAGTGTTATATGGATTCTTCTACTACTGTCAAACATTCCTGGCCAAAACAATTCTTATTTTTGAGTTTTTTATTGCATAAATATTTCTCTAATTCCATGTGACTGTGTTTTCCAACTGTTAATACTTAGGGATGAAGAATTTTTTATTCTAATTTCATCATTGACATACCAACCACCAATACAACATGAGAGATACACGTTTTAACTGAGACTAGTTTGCTTACAATCTTGTTCATTTGCTTTATCTTGCTGACTTCCTTAGAAGCCAGCATTTAGGACACCAACTCAAGGGCATTACACAGCAATAAGCCTTTAAAGACACTGTTGCTTACAAAAATTCTGGCATGCAGTTAGCTAAACAATGATTGTGTACATTTTAAAAGTGTAACATCTTATTAACACTCAAAAATCTTTTGTATTCTGACAGACTCATAGAGATTTAGCATTCACATTTGTATTTCTACTTGAGAGATAGTAGACTCCTTTGATGGAATAAGCAGTAAGATATATGCATAAGGCTGATGAAGGATCTCTTTCCAAGTTGAGTAATTTCTCCAGATTAGCAGATTTACAACAAATTTAAGAGAGCTTTATAGACCTCTTTACTGATAATTCTCTCCTATAAAACAGACAATATTTCCTCAAGGATTGCTCATTAATAGTTTGCTTTTAGTAATGTTTCTGTTATTACCTGCACGTGTACAGCTCCACCTGCTGGTTTAGCCGTTTTGTGTTTTTCAGCTTCCCAATTTTCTGGTTACTGCATAAACACCAAAGCTAAAAACACCAGTACAACCCCTATGCCCTCTATTCTTCCAATACAAAATGGTGTTAGAGGTGTTACAGCATTTCCTCAGTCTTACCAACCAAGATATGGGCTACATACACAGCATTTAAAATTAGGGGACGCGAGTTCCAGGATTCAAACACCCATGAGATGTTGAAACCTCAAATACATAACATGCCATATTTACCTATGAAAGGAAAGCCACTTGACTCCTTCACACAATACAACTCCTGATGTCATGAGCAGCTCTGCAAAGTACTGTGTCTCAATGCCTTCTTCTTCATGCTTTTTAAACTGGATACCAGATGTCGTCAAGAGTTCAATAGAGTCCTGAGCATACATATCTTCTCTAAAAACAGAGAGGAAAAGTAAATTTCCAAAATCTACAAACCTCAATGAGATAACATTTCTTTTTTGCAATTCATTCCACAGACTTAGCCCAGAGCAGGAGCAATTTAACTTTCTTCTAGGTTAATTACAAAACCAACCATTTTTCAAAGGTTTTTTTTGAACCTCCATTATAATTTTTTAACCTTCATTATCATTTTATCATTCCCAGCACCTTCATTCTTACCATCTCCATAAAAAAATTAGTTCCTGCTCCTCTTCCAGTTACAGATAATCCCCTTTTACAAGCCTATAGATGAAAGTGCATCTATAGAATTTATTTGGTAATATATATGTATAAATTGCTTGAATTGCAACAAATTAAATGTAACAGTTGAACACTAACACACTACATTGCAGAAATATGAGAAATACAATCCAGATCCCAGTACTCAATTAGTTCTGCAGTTCTCAGAAGTTTTTTTGTGATTTAAGCTTATTTAAATGTTTAGACATGTGTTCATAAAAACTTTTTTTTTCAGTATAACTGGAAATGGAGTATTTACTCCATGTAGCAAAGCCTTAGAATTCAGGGATCCTAACTTTTTCTGTCTAAACTCTTTTTTCCTAAACAATCTGTTTCAACTTTAAAAGCCTATTTTGGACCTAAAATTTAAGATGATGAAATAAAAATTCTTCTACCTTTTTTTGACCCCTCCTACCTCTGTGTTTACTCCCTTTAACACTAACTTTTTTTTTTTTGCGATGTCTTAAGAATTTCATGCTGAAATTCATGCTTATTTTCTCCCTTAAGTTTTATCTGGATTATCATAACAAAAACATGGAATGGTTAAATTAAGAAAAAAAAAGTAAGTATGTAAGCACTTAGAGAATGAAATTCATTTTACTGTCCACAACATACTACTCCACAAAGTCTCTTCAGTGTACAGTTTCAAATTTTAATAAAAAACAATCAAAACAAAAACACAAGAAAACCTAGACAACCAATATATCAAACTTGACTACTAGATTCAGTCATAGACCTGTATTCTTTATTCCTAAGAGCAAATCATTATTCTTCACAACATAGACATACATCCTCAAGATGTGTTACATCTTTTTTCCTCACTCCCACACAGCTGTTCAATAGTTCTCCAGCTTTGAGGTATCAGCTTCTCAACACCTGTCTATCTCCACAGCACATTAAAGAACTCATCCAAAACAAATGCACCATTTAACAAAAAGGGGGTTTCATTCTAGTTGCTGCTCTTTGCTAATCAGGTGCATAGTATGATTAGAGAAATATTTATGCTCTTTAAAAGCACACTAAAACAAGACCTGGCTGGAACCACACACACAAAAAAAATACCTTCTAGGAACAACAAACAGCTGTTTTGCTTCAGGAGGAGAACACTTGGCACATTGCCACTTCCCAAAAGGATGTTTATAAACAGACAAAAACAAGTAAGTTGTCCATCCACGTAAAAAAAATAAATATATATATATTAATCTCTTGTGCAGTACTTACCAAGTTTATATTTTTCTATAACCTCCACCATCAACTAGTAACAAGGTAATTTGGTGATTACCAGTATCTTGCCTTACTAACCTGTCTAATCTCTGCAGCATCTGGCACAAATAGATGAAAAGCTACTTTTAGTTTCACTTGTTTGATACTAAGTAGACCTTTGAAACCCAGAAAATAAATGAAGTGTAGCACAGGCCCTACTTCATAGATCACAGTTTGGAAGTTATTAATTCCTTTTTCTCCCATAATTAGTAGGATCAGTATATTTGTCTATTTAAGAAAATGGGTAACTTTCAGCCCAGATTCATAGGGCCAGGTAAGTTCAGAGGTACCAAAGCATTTAATCTGTGCTTACTTTTCCTTTGGGAGACAATTCACACAAGACTAAATAGAACATGTCATTGCTCAGATCAAACTGATATGTAACAATCCACACCACTGCTTGTTTAAAAGAGCACAGAGATCAAGAGAGGCAGCAGCAGTTTTCCACTTAAGAACCCCAAGTTTTCTTTGAAAACAAGTCCTCTCATCTGCAGAAAAAATAAAGGTCTGTTCTCTAAACCTCCTTTGTAGGCTGTGAATTTAAGTCATGTATATAAAGTTGTCCAGTTCTCAACTTGTAACACAACTGCCAAAAACCGCAAGGTTTAAATGTGTGAGAAGTGTTTGTACTGATATTCAATTCAGAAGATAATCAACATATGAAAATCTATCAGACCAATTATGTTTACTTCAGAAAGACAAAATCAAGATACTAGTAACTTCGTGACCACCAGCTAAAGGTATAACTGGAGCACCAGATAAGCTTTTGATCCCCCTGAAAAAAGTGAGGTTTATGCTTAAAAAGTTTTATCACTGATAAAAATCACATTTTGAAATAAAGTCCATGGTATTATTCCAATCCAATAAAAGTCAGCTTACCTTTTAACCAACACTTTAGACAAAATAATTCAGAATTATAACATTTGGTATACTTTTTTAGTCACTCCACTAAGTTTACTTTTTTTTTTCCTTCAAGTGTTGGTATTTCCCATTCAAAGTAGGTAAAGCAACAATATGTGATTTCTTTAACAACTAGTAGGAGTGAAACTAAGTTAAGGCAGAAGCACTCTGTAATGCTAAACGTGAAAACACAGAGCTAACTCTTGCACTAAGTATAAAATGCCTTCCACATTTTTTTTAACTGCTTAGCATTTTTGACCAAATAACCAACAGTAAGACTACACAGAAATGAGGGAAGAAAGCATGGTTGGCTGACAAAAATTTTCCTTACGCGAGTATTTCTGGTATTCCAGTAATACAATCAGATAGATAACGAAGTTGCTACAGTATTTATACGTTCTCAGTAAGTCAGAAACATACATTTAGCAGCACAGGAATTGAATACTTACGTTAAGTTAAATTTAAAATTAAATTGCCAAGTTGAAGTTCCTGGAGGGTATTCTCCTTGCTCATTCATAAACGTCAGTCCTAGTTGAATTATTTTTAGCAAGTCAACATTGCAGCGTAAGAGTTGGTACTGATAGTCTGCGTTGCTTCTGAATTCTCCAATAGGCCTTGCAACTACTCCTGGGAATTCTGTGTCCTGCAAGAGCAGAATTAAAACTTGAGCACACGACAACCATACAGATCTAACCATATCACAGCTGAAGAGTACTGTGTGCAAAAACAACTTTTAAAAAGATAAAAGATTAGGATCCAGATGTTCATACAGTGTTAACATTAACTTTCAATTTTAAAGGATGAGCAAGTTTGCTGACCTCAGCCTAAGACACGATTTTTGCAGTAATTTGCTAGACAGGCATCAAGCACCCACTTACCATAGCTACATAGTTATACTTCCGTATAACTTGACGAATTTTCTTCATCTCTTCATCCAAGTTACAAGCCCAAACTTCACAGATTCTTTGGCTATGATCTACGGTAGCTGCTGGCATAGTGGGGGGCTTTAGAGACCATACATCAAAAGTTACACTTGACCGAGGATTGGTTTCATAAAGAGGACTTCAACTGTTTATTTTTTTAGCCTAAGAGAGAAAGAAAGCAAAGCATGAAAGTGTAAGCTTTTACTCTTAGTTTATCTGAAGAAAAAAAAAAAAAAGGCTTAAGCACCACAGCTACGCTATAGCCCTGTGGATTTCACAAAAGCAGGACAACACAGCCACCAAAACCACAGGAATTTCGGCTACGCGAGCTCAGATTACCATCAGAAACTAAACCCCCACAGTGTCGTTAGCGACTGTTTCCTGCCCAAGGGCGGCAAGGCGCACCAGTGACACGGACACCGGGACACCCGGCCGGTCCCCGGGCGCTCCTGCCCCGCGGCTCGCACGGGCAGGATCCCTGGGCTGCGTGCAGCAGGGAACGAAGCGGCAAAACAGAGTCACGCCAAACCGGGGGACGCCGCGGGCGGCCTCCCGAGGCGGGAGCAGCTCCTCCAGCTCCCGAGGGCCGCTCTAAACCAGCGAGCGGCGCGCGGAGACCGACACACGGCCGGCCGGGTCCCCCGCGCGCGAGAAAGGCCCCGGCAGCGCCCGGAGGTGCCGCAGGGCTCGGTGCCGGTGCCGGCGGCCCCGCCCGGTGCCCGCGNGCACGCCTCGTGAGTGGCCGCGGCGGGCGCGGGGGCGGGCGCGGGAGGGCCGCACCGTGTCGCCCGTCCCGGGGCCGCGCTGCGTCGGTAGCTGTCGTGTCCCCCTGTGCGCGGACACGGGGAGCCGGCTGCGCCCCGTCCCCTCCCCGTGAGGCCTGGCTGGCTCCTCGCGGCCGTGTGGGTAAACAGGGCCCCCGAGCGAGCCGGCGGCGCCGCAGCCCGGGCCGGCCCAGCCCCGCGCTGTCCCGGGGCCGAAGGGTCCCGCCGGGCGGGGCTGCGGGGTCCCCGGCGGAGGACGGTGCGATGTGGGACCCCGCGGGCTGGGAGGAAGAATCGGAAACTGAAAGTCCAGTTGGCTGTCGGGGAGGCGTCCCCGCTGGCTGCGGTGTGGCCCGGCCGGGTGATCAGGCGCAGGTCGGCGTGCCGGTTTCACTTGCCATTGACCCGAAAGCCGGCTGACGGGTTGTAATGTCTTCTAAGAGGCGCGACTGCGTCTTGGGATAAAACCTCTCTGGAAGCTGCTCGTAATAGCGTAGTTGATTAAAAGTTGAGACTAAAGCATAGAGCCTCAGGGAGTTGTGTGTCACAGTGGCCTGCCAGCAGTGGCACAGTGGCATAGCAGCCCTGCTGGCCTTACAAACTGTTTTTCCTGGTGTTCAGTGCTACCTACTAAAAACGGACTGCTTCTTAAAACCTAGTTTTGTTTAGATGGTCAGAGGAGGCCAGTTGTGTTTACTCCTGTTCAACATCCACAATTTTTAAAGCAAGACAGTTAGTATTCTGAGGTGCCCCCTCTTGGCAGTATTCTGCCCTGTTTCACCTAGTCTTTTAAAACTCCTGGCATTTTGAAAGGAGACCCACATTTCATACATTTGAAGTTATAGTTTCCATGAAGTAAGCATTCTACTGACATACAACTTCCTAGGATTTCTGAACTGAAATGGTAGCTGCCTCCAAAATAATTCAGAAAAAGGACAGAGAATGCTTTCTGTCACATCAGACTGACACTAGGAGTGGAAGAGATACTAAATGCATTTCCAAGTTTAATAACTGCAGATAGTTTGCTTTCCTAATATTTTGAATTGTCACATAAGAAACATAAATATGATGGTATTTTAAGTATTGTTGCTTGAATAAGTGTAAGTCTGTTCAGAGCCAATTTCACAGATATTTTGGAGACAGTTCACTTTTTTAAGGAGCTGTTCCTGTGGGCATATAGGACCTTAGTTAACGTAAAAGTTTTTGTTGGGCTGGCTTTACTTGGTCTTTTGTTGATACCCACTTCTTTAAAATCTGGCAGTGAGATGAGCTCGTCCTGAATTAAATCCCCAAAAAGGGCATCCGTTTCTCTCAGTCAGCTTGCTGAAGTGGTTTGGTAATGTTTGTGAAGGCACCAGCTCAAGCATAGGCAGAGAGGGAATGGATGCTGTAGCCAGGAATTCAGGTGAGGGGTAGGGACATGGTACCTGCCCAAATGTCATTCCTTTATCAGTATTGTTGCTTTTCACCAGAATGCTCAAAATTCTTGGTGTGGTGTAGTTAACTAAGTTAGTCAAGTTTGGTTTGTGTTGTCTTAGGTCATAAAACCTCAGGTATGTGTGATCTTTATTTCAGCAAAGCAGCTAGCATTCCTGTACACAGTCCCTCTCAGATTAGGAGCTTAAAATAAAATCTTTGCATTTCAAAAAAGAGGTTTTTTTACATTTGCTGTTTTTCTAGACAAAGTTAAGAATGTATAATTTTTCCAGTGCACTCATTCCCACTTGGGGAAGCGGCAGCTAAGGTTATTAGTTCAAGATTTTTCCTAAGCAGGGTTATGACCGTTCAAACAGTTCAATGAGATTCTGGCTTTCTTGTTCCTCACTCCCTGTCCTCATCTTCCTCCTCAGTTTCCACATGAGTGAAGTGTAATTATATACCTTTCTCAAAAGGATTTTGCAGCAGGCTAATGAGAAGTGTGGCAGATGATTACAGGGCAGGAATATGCGTAAGAGATTCTGGGGAGAATCCTTCAGTTACGAGTGAGAAGGTGCACTGTGTGTGGTGTAACACAGCAGAACCCTTGATTTGAATTCTCCTGTGCTGAAGATATTTGATATTTTCTTCAAACAGCATGTGATTTCACAGGGAAAGAGCAAATACTGTGTTGTCTATGAGAGAAATAAGATCAGGCTGCAGAAAGCAAGATTCATAGCTGAGTTAGTGTCTTACTCCCATTTGTTCCCCAAGCTCTTAAAGACTTGGTTTTGAAGCCTTAAATTGTATGCCCAAGTAGTACTTTGGAAGGACACAAAACACTCCCAATACTACTCTTAAAACACATTTGCAGGTAATGTGTTTTGGCTTTCTTGAGAATCTTCCATTTTTATGGAGTATACCTGGCAGTGGATGGAGGAGCATTTCTGAAGTTGGATCAAAAGATGTTTTCTGGGAGCACCCATCTGCCGTTATTTGCCATTGGAGCTGTGTTCCCTCCCCTGTATAAGGAAGCCTTAGGTTACAGAGAAGAGTATTATTAACCAGGTGCAAGCAGGGAAAATACATGGAAGAGCAATCAGTCTGCTTTTAGTTTGTTTTGATTAAGGAAGCTTGTTTGCTGTCCTTCTGTCTTTTACTCTCAGCTTAGATATGTTCGTATTGTCTAGAAATTCTGCTTCTGAGCTAAGTCTTCATCTCCACCTCCTCCACATTCTCTGGGATGCTCTCTTTCAAATAGTCTTGCTGTGCGTAGAAATTGTAGAATGCTTTGAGTATTGAAATCAACTTCCTATTAGTGTAGCTCATTTCAAGATTTTTCCCTCTGTAATTTACCTGTTGCAGGAAGAATAAATTTGGATTTGACCTTACTAGATTTTGTCAGGCTTCTCAGTGTTTTCAGGAGGGCCTGGGTCTTGAGTGTCACTGGAGCTTTACCCTGTTGAATATAACTCTACTCCAGATAATTCTTGAGAGCTTGGTGCACATAGTAATAACTACTGTTAAATATTAGGCTAATCTAATAAGGAAGAATTCCTAGGCTAATAAGTGTTCTGCATATTGGTCTGAAGGCAGTGTTGCAGAGCAATGTGAACCTGATATAATGCCTTGGTAAAGTAAATGTTTAATCAGATAAAATTCAGTATATTAAAAAACCACTAATGTATTGTCTTAAATTAAGCCAGTAGTGGGAGAAAGATAAGTTGAGATTGTTGTCAGAAGTGTGAGTAGTGTGATTTCTGTATCCTTTGCTTGTGACCATGTATGAGGTTTAAATTTTAAATCCACTATTTTTTTTCTTTAATCTTAATATTCAATATAGAACGCTGAAGATGATTAGCTTACTCCAGCATTTTCAATTTTGTTCTTACAGGGCTTTTCAAAACTAAACTGAATACAAATGTCTGAGATCATGCTTGTTTCTTTTAGACTTTTAGCTCTTACATTGACCATGCAATGGATGCTAACAATTTTTTCTTTGACAGCATTGCAGAAATACAGAAAGATGTGGAATATCGACTGCCATTCACTGTAAACAACTTGACAATTAATATTAACATGTAAGTAGAGTGGACTGTATCTATGCACATTTTGAAAATTAAAATTGTTCTAAAAAAAAAAAGTGGTAATAGAAAGTAAGCTGCTCCCAGCTCATAATTAATTTCAGGACCCATAACCTGGATTTCTATTAGTGGTTATAGTGATGTGGGTGGAATTGACTCTGTACAAGATGCAGATGTTCAGCTGAGAGAAAAATCATATTTTACTGTTCTCAGTTCCTAAGATAGCTGTGTGATTTTAGTTGAAGATAACTAGGGGAAAATGCTTGAGGATTTCTGATAACTTTGATTCCCTGCCACTGAAAATAAACTTGATTGGTAATTTCTTAGTCTGCTGTAACTACATACTCTTACCCTGGTGAAGTTTCTGGATCATAACTCAAGTGATTTATTGTAATATTTCCTGTGAATTTACTTTGGGGGGCACTTGCTCTGGCAGGTATTGATAGTATTCTGTTCACAAGTTTTATATTACTTTGCCCTGCAGAGTTTGCCTAATATTCTTAAAGGCTACACTGCATTGTATTTGTAGTAATAACATTTGTATTTGAAAATGTTCTTGTTATGCTACAGCTTCTTTGTTGTCTTATCAGTTGATCAGACCATGTGCTAATAACACCCATCAGTGCCTCTATGGGCCATGCACTTAAGAGCTGGACTCGGTGATCCTTGTGGGTCCTTTCCAACTCAGAATATTCTGTGATAATTGCTCCTTTGTTATACTCCAATTTTACCTAGTAAATGCTCTCTTCAGCTTTGTGGAAGTTGTACTTCAAATTTTGTAGCTGAATAATCCTTTTGTATGCTTCATTCATTGTGTACTTGTCCATAACAGTTCTCATAGAAAAGTATGTTTATGTAATTAATAGCACTTTTTCTTTGCATAAGAAGCCTTCTTATGCAAACTTCATCATGGGGTGTCACTGTAATGATAAATATTATTTTATTTTCAGTTTGCTTCCACCTCAATTTCCTCAGGAAAAACCAGTCATCAGTGTTTTCCCACCTGTGAGACATCATTTAGTGGACAAGCAGGGAGTATATGTGACCGGTCCATTGATAAGTAATGTAAGTGTAATTTGTAGCTTCACACAGATCTACTGTTAATAGCAGTTTTAATACATGTTACACTAGATCATTGTTAATACTCCTGGTAAAAAATACCAGTATAGATCCTAATCTCTTTCAAACTGTATTTCAGGGCCTGAAAACAAATTCAGAAATGTTCAGCAGTAATTCTAATTATTCTTTTACTGATACCATTTCTGACTTGAGTATTCCATGTATTTAAAACTATTTTAAGTTATGAGTGCTTAGAAAATTACTATCACACTTTTTGGGCTATTTTTAATTGCACAGTTCTTCCAATTACATTCCAGTGTATTCCAAATAAAGGAGAGGGATGCTTTAAGACAGTTTTGTAACATAGTTCTTTCTAGCCTAATCCTATTAGAATGGCGTCACAGTTTTAGCTCGAATATTCAGGATTTTAATATGCTGGTCTTTTTTTTGTCAACAAGATTGTTCTTTTTTTTTTTTTTTTTTTTTGAGTGGATGGAGGTTCTGACTCTTTTAGAATGTAGTTAGTGCCTCTGTCCTCGGACATTTTAATTTTTTTTCCTCTTCTGTTGTTTACACAAATGTAACTTGCTAACTAAAGTGGGGATTTTTGGTTATTCAATAGAAATGTGGTACCTCATTGACTCTCCACTAATAATGGAATATACAAAAGACTTAGTTTCTGTTCAGTTCTGGGTTGCTTTATCACTTTATTTGGAACTTATGTACATACAGTTTGGATCAACAAGTATGTCTGAAATAGCTTTTCAACACTATCACGTGGGTATAATAAACAATCAAGTTCAGCACATTTTGGAGCTCTTGGATTCCAGACATACGTTTCTTCTTTATTGGATTTTGTTTTGTGTTTCTCCCAGTTTACAATGCATTCAGATCTTGGAAAAATTATTCAGAGTTTACTGGATGAGTTTTGGAAGAATCCTCCGGTTCTAGCTCCTAGCTCAACATCATTTCCATAGTAAGTTATCTAAACATAATAAATGTCTTAATTTTTTTAAAAGTGACTAAACTGGTTATAAGGAGGGCAGGGACAGGAGTAATGTAATGGATATACCGGAAGAATTACATTCCCTGTCCTTGCACAATTTCATGTGCGTGGTGGATAACCTGATTGTTTTCAGAAGAGACACTAGATTTCATTGGAGTTACTGTATCAACATGCCTGATAGAACTTTATATCCATTTTCTTGAAAAAGAAATTTTTACATTACCAGATGAAATCTAGAATTTGCTGTATCTCATTATCTGAGCAGTTGTGTTTTTTCATATTCTGTTCATAATCTCCCAGGCTTAGGGAAGTTCCTCTTGCACCATGTGTGGCAGAAATTGTGTGATTTGAAGAATTGTATTAAATTCAAATTGTATCAGTACAACTGTGGTTCTCATGGCTGACGGTGATACTAAGTTTAGATGTGGCTGCAGTTGTGAATTTTAAAAAAAAATCTTTCATGTTATTTAGAAGTAATTATGTGTGTGTTGCCCAAGCTGTTAAATGCTATACCATAAATAAGAGCTAATACATGACACAGATGTTTTTCTCACAACTTTAGGATGGAAACAATTTAAAATTATGCTGTCATAAATTTTTGAGAAGTAGTTTTCTCATAATTAAGAGTGTAAGTGTGTATTTGACTGTTCTACAAGAATGTAGATTGATGGAGTTCTATACTGTATTTCACTATTAGACAGAAAGGCTTATTACATTGGAAATAACTGAGAACAGAAAGTACAAAGTTTATGGCAACTTGGAAATTCATTCTTATGTCTTATATGTGGTCTGGTAATTATAATTCAAATGACAAGTGATGTGCTGCATGCAGCTCATGGTTGTGGTTTTGTTTGTTTTTAGCCTTTTCAACAAACCAGCTGGAATGCCTCCTTTTGCTCCTCAGGGGTTTCCATTTCTCCCTCCATATCCACCTCAAGAAACAAACAGAACAATGGCACCCATGCCCATTTCTGAATCAGTTTCTTCAAGCTACACTACAGACAAGCCTGCTGCTCCCTCCTATGGCTTGATTGCTGATCTGCCGCTGCCTGTTCCGACAGCAGAAGCGGTGCTGCAGGTCAGTGTGCTGAGTTCTGCTGCTTAAGCTGTCAGACACTGGGTATAAGTTCTTTAGGAGCACACAGGGCATTGCTGTAAGACTCAAGGAAGCACTTAAATGAGTGCACTTCATTGTTTTGCTGGTGCTAGGGAAACAAAACTGTCATTCTGGCTTTGATGAAGAATTCTTTAGAACTTGAAGTCAGAGCAACAGGTTTGTCTGAGTTTCAGTGAAACTAGTGTTATGCTAAGGGTCTTTGATTACAGGGGGTTTTGTTTTGGAGCTGCACTCCCCCATAGGGCAGCTGTAGCTGTATCCAACCACAGAAAATGTTTCTTTCTTTTTTTCTTTCCTGCTCAGAACCTGTTAGGTAAGGGCAATGTGCAATCTCAAGTCTTTATATGTGGTGTTTTATCTTGTATGTTTTTACTCAAGCTCTCTATTGCTGATGAACTCTGGAAGGAATTTTATTTTAAATAAAGCTTTTTATCTAAATGTTTAGTCTTGAATCAAATCATGTCTATAGAAACAAGTTTTCTTAGGCTTGGAAGACACTTCTGTGGCTTTATGGAATTTAAATTTTCTACGACTGTTTTTTCCTTGTCTAAAACATTTATTTTCTGAGGGATTATAGCTTTAAAAACCACATGAAAGAGATCAAAATATCAATCTCCTTCTCTGTTCTCACTTCCCTGAGTTTTACTATTTCTGTGTATTTCCTCAGTCATTCAACTGTTTTCAAATGAAGGACATGGAAAACTGACTCATCTTTTATGACATGTCACCCCAAATATCTTCAAGCATTTTGTTGCATTGGTTGAGTTGTTTTCTGTTCAGATACTAGTGCTATTGCTTCTTACTGTTTTTCCTGCTTCTCTTGTTGCTAGAAAATATTCATCTTCAGTTCTTGATTAATCAGGTTAAATATCAAGAAACTGCACTTCAAAAATCTACTAAGCATTTCTAAATTTTGATTCAGGTTGGCCAGAACGGATTAACATACAAAATGCCTGATGTTCCTGATACCTTTCCAGAACTCTCAGAACTAAGGTAAACATTCAGAAGGTAGTTGAACATTTTGTAATTACTGAAAGGCACTGTACTGTACTACTGGCCTGTATCTGATATTTGTCAGAAGTCTGTACTCATCACTAAAGGGTTTTGTAGAAATTATAATTAGGGGAACTACCACATACCAAAGTATTGGAGTCAGAAAATAACCCTGTTTTATATTCAAACATGCTGCTTCTTTAGGGTTTTGTCAGCAGGAACAATACTCGATTCAACACCAGGAAAAGGAGTATTTATTTTTACTTTTTCTTACTATCAGTGTTCTGCTGTTTTCTGAGGCCTTGCAAGGGACTTAATTTCTAGTAATTCAATAAGCATAACTTTTGAAGGAGGAAATGGGACAGCTTGAGGCTGGTTCAAAAATTACATTCTCCTAAGTATCAAAGGACTGTAGTGCAAGGTAAATGGGGAACTGTTCTGTGAGCAGCTCAGCATGTTCATGGGAGGCTGGGTTAGACAAATCCAGGTGCTAAATGTGTCTGCTGTCCCAGTGCAAATCACTGCTACATCTAAATACTTTGTACACACACAACACAGATATTTTCATCTGTTTGTCTTTATTCAAACAAACTGTATTAGTTATTACTCCCAGCAGATCAGAGTCAGATCTAATGAGACAGTTCTGTGAGGTAGAATAGGTTACAAATTTCCCATGAATTCCTTCAGATCTCACATATTTCTGGTGGTGTTGTAGTTCAGCAATTGAAAACTCTGTCCTTTCAACTGGAGTTGCTTTTTCTTTTCCTTTGACACTTTCCAAAGAGCCTGTTAAGTTTAGCTGACTTAGCTTTTAAGTTCTGGCAGCATCCTCATTACATAACAGCACATTAAGACTTTTGCAGGGAACTGTAATTTGTTAAATGCTATTCTTAAAATATTCTAATCAAGCCTAGTCCTTTCAAGAAGACTGGATTAAAATTCCATGATTTGTCTGTTGGTAGTTTAGTTGAATGACAGTGGTATTGCAGCTGTTCTGAATAGTTCTGTTCTGTATGGATTGCACAGTTTTGGTATAGGGGGATTTTTGAGTGGTCTTTGTGAGAAAGGATCAGGAGCTGCCCCTGTGCCAGGCACAGCTGGTTTAGCAGCAGACCCACTGCAGGACTGCTGAGTCCATTAGTGAAGCAGGCGCTGTCTCTGAAAACATTTTAGAAAGAGCAGAGGCCATGAGGATTGAGAGGAGGAATGGAAAACTGTGATAATCCTGCAAACACCAAGGTCAGAGAAGAAGAGGGAGAAGGAGGTGCGCCAAGTACCAGAGCATTTACTTTTCCACAGCCCACAGAAGTTTTGGAAAAGGCTGCAGTAGAACAGGTATTTTTAAAATGTACCCTGTAGCTGAGAGGACTGTGCTGGAGCAGTTACCTACACTGCAGTCCAGGAAAGACCCAATATTGGAGCAGGCAGATATGCCCTGAAGGAAGCTGCAGCCAGGTATTACCCAGACTGGAGTAGTCTCTCCTGCCAGGAACTGATTGCAGTCTGTGGAGCAGAGGTGAAGTGTGAGAAAGGAGAAGCAGAGATGAACTGTTAGGGACTGACTGCTACACTTGCAGTTCCCCCTTTGCCCCAAGGAGAGGGAGACAGGGGAAGGTAGTTAGGCATGAAGGAATGAGGTTGAGCCTGAGGAAAAATGGAGCAAAGTGTTTTAGTTTTTGACTTTCTTGCTTACCATCCAACTCTTACTGTAATTGACAATAAATTCAGTTAAATTTTTCTGAGTGTGTTTTGTGTGTGATTGTAACTGGTAAGTGACTTCACTGTTTTTATCTCAGCTCCTGAGATTTTCCTCCATAGCCTGTTGAGGAGAGGGACTGAGAGAGCAGCTGTGTGGGCATCTGGTAGCTTGACACAGTCAACCCACTCTAGTAGCATTATGGGAAGTAAGGCTTGAAATGGGAGATATTTGTTAACATGCTGCTTTTTAAATTCACTGCTGCATATAGTAGAGTCCAAGGAGAAAGGGGAAAAATAAGTTGTGGTGAAGTATCATGTATTTGTAAAGTGCCAAAAAAATGCCTCAAATTTTGGAAGAAATTAATTATTTACATGTGATGTTTTCAAATTTATATGTACTTTCTTTCTGTTTGAGTACAGTATATCACAGCTGACCAGTATGAATGAGCAAGAGGAGGTGTTACTGGAACAGTTTGTAACTCTTCCACAGCTGAAGCAAGTCATTACTGATAGAGATGAGTTAGTGAAAAGCATTGAAGAACTGGCAAGTAAGCTGTCAAAATGTTAACATGTGTAGCTTTGTTCTGTGAACTAAATCCTTTAAAAAAAGTAGTAATGGTGATTTTATTTTTCAGAAAAAAACCTGTTGCTGGAGCCTAGCCTTGAAGCAAAAAGACAGACAGTGTTGGATAAAGTAAGTTAACAATAAAATCATCTTCAGAAATATGAGTGGTAATATCTGGAGTTTTTTCAAGGTGATAATGTTCCTTTTCTTCTTTCTTCCAGTATGAGCAACTCACACAAATGAAAGCAGCCTTTGAAAAAAAGATGCAAAGACAGCATGAACTTAGTGAGGTATAATTCCTACATGGCATCCTTTAAGAATACTTTAATAAATCTGAAGTTTTGAATTGTATCTTTAACCATTAATAATATTATTTTGGTTTAACTCTCATTTAATATGCAGTAGATTAAGTATTTCATCAAATATGAAAAAAATTGAATCATGTACCAAAAAGTTAAAAGCAAAATAATGGTTTTCCTATTGGCTTTTTATTTTTTACTGCTACAATAGAAGCAAAGTTGGAAGAAAAGAGTGATCTACATCTAGAATTGTTTAGTACAATCCCAGTCCAAACCAGTTTTAAGAACAGAGTAATTTTTAAAGAAGGCATGTTCAATTAATGGTACTCATTTAACATAATGAGCTTGTAAAGCTGTACCAGATGAAAGGGCTCAATAACTTCAGGAACTTAAATTCTGCAGTTCACTAGGAATGCTTATTTCAGGCAATATGTTCTATGTGCTGTCAAACCTTGCACGTTCTACAGTGCAAATAGAGCAGAAGTTCTTACTTCAGAAAGTATTCAAGGAGAATAATTTCTTGGTATGTTTACCAGGGTATTCATTAGAAGATATAACTTCTGATAAACCACTTTCTACACTGAAATCTTCATAATTTGCAAGACTCATCACCTGAGAATGCAACAGTCCATCAGTTTAGTATGCATAGTACCTGAATTCCAAAATGCCCCCAAAATAACAAAACAAATTTAAAAAAAAAAGTGGGCAGAGGTAGTTGACATGGATAAACTACCTATTTTTGCAAGAAACCATTCAAGAACAGGACATAATATCACACTGCTGAAGTCCTTTTTCTTTTTTCTAAATCTGATTTGCTGATTCAATTTAATGATGGATAGGAGGCTGAGAGTTGAGGAGTAGCAGTTGAATTTTTCTGCCTTTTTTTCATATGTGCTATACCTTCATGTAGTGATGTTTGCTGTGCACTACATGGTATCTCCTGCTCTCTTTCCTTCAAATTTCCAAACAAGTATTTTTACTTGTGTTGAATGAATTTTAGTCATCTTCTATTAGAGCAAACTCTCCATATTTTGTACAAGACTAATTTAACAGGAAATTTTTGATTACATTAAGGTTTTAAAGTACCTAAGTAAAAGATTTTTCATAGGATAGATGAAGGTTAGGCCAAGCATCTAAAATATGTCTGGCTCTGTACAGACTCCTACTGGATGTGAATCACGTCCTCTTTAACTGCCCAGCTATATTTGAGAAAAAATAATGAAATTGTATGCAATAAACAGAAGTAAGATTTGAGGGTTATAAGAACAGAAAAATAAGTATACTGATTTAGATTAGCAATCTGCTTCTTGAGTAGGTGCTTTTTGCTTTCCTGTCTTCTCCACAATCATTTCAAGTGTATTTAAAAGCTGAACAATGAGTGCTTTTTTACCTTTTAATACTTCTCAGGTTTACAACTGATTTTCAAAAGTAGACCCTATTTATTGAAGACACTTGAAATGTTAGTTCTACTCAGAAATCATGCACTTGAGAACTTGTCAAATTTCCAAGCTGGATGCTTTCTACACTGTAGGATAAAAGTTGAAAAACTTTCTTCATTTGTGTGAATGATTGTGTATAAAGACCTAAACTAGCAACGCTTTTCTCACATTGAAACCTTTCTAGTTTAACAAGCTGTGCTGTAATTTGGAGATAGAACTTCATCTGGTTAATTAGGCTTTTATGTAATAATAGTGCTCTATCCACATATTCCATATTTGTATAGTCATTTATCTTCTTGGAAATGTAAGTTTTAACGGACAGGCTAATATTACATTGTACTTTTTATTTTCTTAAGAGTTGCAGTCCAAGTGCTCTGCAGGCCAGACTTAAAGTAGCTGCTCATGAAGCTGAAGAGGAGTCTGATACTATTGCAGAAGACTTCTTGGAAGGCAAAACAGAGATAGATGACTTTCTTAGTAGTTTCATGGAAAAGAGAACGGTATGTAATATACAAGTAGTTCTAACCGACAACATGTACAACACACAGTGAATAAATTTAGGACTTCTTTTTTTAAGAGTTTGAGCAGTCCTGTGATACAAAACAGAGCTTTAGTGATCTTTGACAAAAGAAAAAAATATCCTTAAATGGCTTCAGTTTAAATAAACTATAATCTGCATTTCAAAGGCACATACTTTTAAGATGGGAGTGCAAAGGTCTCCTGCATTAGACCATATTCATGTGCTGTTGCAGATATTTTTGTGCCAATTTCTCCTGTATCTTGTCTAGATATAGGGGAAGATAGCCACATGGTAAATTTCACATTTGGAAGGTTGACATAAACTGGCATGTTGCATTAAACGAACCTTAATGTTTAATTTATTAAACTTCTTAAACAATTCTGTTGATGGCTATCAAATAAGTAACTGAGGTTCAAAAACCACCATTCTTGTTCATGCTGTGACAAAAGTAACTTACCAAGTCCTTACCAAGGTACCCAATAAATGCCTTTTGTAACATTGGAAACAATCCTCTTATAAACAATTTTGGATAGAATAATGTTGTCTGTATAGACCATAATTCAGCCCAAAGCTTGGAAGGGAGGTAGGTCAGGTGGGGTTTTCTTTCTTTAAAGAGTCTGTAAAGTAGCTAAAATCATTCAGGAGAAACTGCAGTATGCATTATAAAAAACTGCATTTAGAATTCAGTCTTGTATGTCTTGTTTCATAGCTCTGCCACTGCAGACGAGCCAAAGAGGAAAAACTTCAACAGGCAATAGCAATGCACAGCCAATTTCATGCTCCGCTATAGGTAAACTTGGTTTGTTAAACAATTTACTTTATGTTACACACCTGGTAACTGCACATGGATTTGTTACAGTGTTTATTGTTCTAATAACACTTTTTGTGGAAGTCAAGTATGTTCTGCATCTGTTGTTACTTGTATTTAAAATATAACTTAAAATATAACTTCTGGAGAAATTAAAATGTCTAATCATTATTTGTCTTTACAGACTTCCTGCAAACTGCACCTGCCAAGAGAACGAATGAAAATCCCAATAAAGCACACTTTTTAATAACTATTATTTGCAAATAAGCATTTCATCTTATCTGGTTGTATTTATAGAAGAGATTGTATACAGAGTTGGGATGGTTTTTGTACAAATTAGAATGTCTCTTTATATTCTCATTGTACTCAAGAATCCTTCTATTGCAATCTTTGCATTAATTTCTTGTATTTATTGTTGATAGTTATAATATTTAAGTTCCCTGCTGCTATACTCCATTTGTTCAGAGATTAAATATCTAAACATGTAATTTTGACTAGCTTTTTACATTTTTATAAAAACATAATTCATATCTTTTGTATTTTGAATTTTAACCATAGATTTGGCTTAATCTGTGGAAGACTTTAAGTGTTGACAGGACTTTGGAAACTAAACAAATTCTTAATGGAGATTGCCAGTGGATTCACAAGCTGTCTTTTCTTGAAGCCAAAATATTAAAGAACAAGTTTTTTTACTTCTGAGTAATAATAGAAAACTAAGTATAGCTTGTATTGTGTTTTGGATAAGTAGATTGGGGATTAAGCAAAGGATGTGTTGGAGAAAATTATATTGGAATCAGAATAAATGATATCTGCATAGATTTGGTATGTTGCTTAGTAGCACTGATGCACTGATTTCAAGAGTGGTTTGGTACCTACCACTAATTAAACACAATTTTCATCTAACAAGTTCATTTTCTTTTTTTTCGTTCATAAAGGAATAATAAGCAGGTCACCTTCCTGTTTCTGTTTTATGCAATATAAATAAGTTCATCATGTGAGGAACTCAGAAACACTTTAGAAAAACTAGTTCTGAAGTTCTTTGGAAAATAGTTATTTTTTCTAATGTTAAAAAACAAAGCAACTAATTTGGTTGGAATTCCATAGTGTCATATGGTAAGGCAAATGATCAGATTTGGAAGTAAAACTCAATTCTGTGCTTTAATCAATGAATCTTGCCTCTGGTAAGCTGACAGTCTTGGGATGGGGTATATCTGGTGGGAATGGATAGGACCAAATGCAGTGTTCTATAGGAGAAAAATACAGGTCCTAAATACATGCATGTATTTTCTCTCTTGCTATTGAGAGAAGACACTTTCTTAACGTTCTCAATGCATTAGGTTTTCATGGAGACAGTCAAGAAGGAAGGAAGAGGAGGAGTAGAAGGAATGGTACAGTTTTGAGAGTTGTAAATAGGATAAAGTGCTGATTAAGTGATGTGTCAGAAATCCTGCTTCTTTCTTGTCAGGAAGCAGTCTGGAGATAAACCTCTTAGCCAAGACTCTACCTGTGTGTTACCTAGATAGGATCACAGGACATGGCAGGTTCAAATCTCAGACTACAATCCAAGCATGTGCTTTTCTGTATCACTGATCTTCAGTCCTAAACTTTATATTCTTCCAGCAAAATGTGATATTTCTTCTGAATGGAGAAAAGTGAGTAAGGAAAATCATGTGAGTGCAAAAATCTGTTCCACAGGCTAGTGGGTCTTCAGTCTCAGCCCTGCCTTTCGTTACACTTATGTGGTTGTCCTAAGCTGTTGCTTCTCAGGGTGAGTGAACTGTTCACTGGTATTTTATAGGACTTATTTTAAAGCTGATTCAAATTCTGAGATTAGATGTCCCAAGAAAATAGATCTGTGGTCCAAATCAAAGATACTTCAGTGTCTGAAAAAAAGTCAGCACTTAATAAAAGGAATGCTTCAGCAATAATTTTAGAGGTTCTTATTCCAAAAAATGTGCTGCCTGGATATTGATGTAGCACTCCTGCTAATGTGCTAATTAAAGCCTTAGATTTTGTCAACATCTAAGTGGTTCTGAACTTGTGTCTGTGAGTAGTGTGATTTCTGCAGCTCTGGAGAAGAGTTAGGTGTAAGTCATCACTGTAACCTTCTTGGGAAAATCCCATCTAATTTTGTGTTGAGTTGTTGTTTCTGATCTCTTTCTGAGGATCTAGTTAACTCTCAAGACTACACACAATTCTGTGCAGAGCTGTTTTTTTTGTTGTTGTTTCTTGTGAACAGAGAAATACATGGATGAGCAGATATCTGGTGTTCTTGCTGTATTGGGCTAGTATCTTCTTTATAGTTTTTATAACAGGATAGGAGGACACACTTCTGTTCTCATCTGCCAGGTGCTATGGTGCTTTGCTGTCACCAAACACTTCAGCCAGGTCACCTTCAGGGGATTTGCTAGTCCAAGTTCTGAACTCCTCACCTTTTCCTCTTATGTTACTTTAGTGAGCAAATGTTCAAATTGGGAACGTCTCCATGGAATCTTTCTGATGGTAGTGGAGTAGAATCTACAATAAAATGTCACTGTTCAATGTAAGTTCAGTGTTTGTTGTTCAGGGATTTCAAAGTTAATTTATTTTCTCTGCCTTTCTATTCTCTGATGTCATTGTTACTATTCTTTGGATTTTTTTCCCTTATTTTTAGCCCCTTCTGCAGTCACAAACCCATCCTCTAGAAAAGAAGCGTAGAAGTCTCTGTATTCAATGATGATGTATACTGGGTTAGCTGCAGGAATGCTGTTCCATCCAAGAATGTCTAGCCTGTTTATGATCTTTAGGGGCCTACCTAATGCTGGTGGGGTAGTTTTTGAGGATTTTTTTGTTGTTGTTTTGTTTTTCTTTGTTTTAGTCCTACATTGGTTGTGTCTTCCCTGGTCTACTTTCACCAGAAGACTAGGTAGAACACTGGTAACACACTATCAGAGTTAGGGATTTTTGCTTTTAGCATGCTGGTAGCTCACTGTTAAAACACATTCTTTACCTCAATTTTTGCCAACATGTGGAGCATAGGCGTAAATCCAATTTCCCATAAAGTGTAAGAGAATGGCAGCCACTACTGCAAACAAGATACTAATAAGTCAGTTCTAAGCAGAATGTACTATAATTCTGTTGTTTGCTCTTTACATACTCCAGCAGCTTTGCCACTTAGGACCTGGACCAAATGTGGGAAGTTAGAAATCTTACAGTTTTATATGTGTCCAAGTTCTAAATGCTTCCTTCAAATACTAGAATAAATGTTTATAAAATAGAGATTTAAGAGACCTTCAGGAAAAACTCAGTTAAAACTCTGGCAACAAAGTCAAGTATCACAGCCTTAAATATTCTGAACTGTAAATACTGTAATGTGTTAAACTTACACATAAAGGCTTTAGGATTTTAATATATCTTGTAGACTTATAACTTAGAGATACAGTTGGGCATTGCAGGACTTTTTGAGTGGATACAGAATTGTGTTGGAAGTGGATGCAGTACTCAAGGACAAACTTTTTATCTCCATGTGCAGTGGTTTGAGCTTTTCCTGTTCAACCATTTAAAAAGCTAATTCTTGGAGCTACCTTCACCAAAATGGGCTTTAAAAACCTGTATTGCATCTCTGGCTTTTGAAAATGCCTTGTTTTGGTCAGATACCTGTAGACGTCACATTTCTATGTAGTAATAAGCTATAAAGAGAGCCTATATTTCAATAACAAGGGAATACCTCAGTATAAAGAACTGTGCTCTTTAGTCTTCAGAAATAGAATAAATTTATCTGAATAACCTTAGCAACAAACTTAGTCCTTGCCTGAATTCAGTTGTTTTTAACCTGGTGGACCTGTAAGGTTTCATTAGCTTCTTTACAGAATGATCTATATTAAAGGACTAGTACATTTTATTTTAACATTTAACATTATTTGATTTGCTGGTTTCAGGTGCTTTACTGGCAATTTAAATAATATAAGTACATTTGAATGTTTATTTTATCTTCTCATGCCCGCACTCTGGCACCTCTCTGAATTCAGGGTTTGCAGTACATTTGGCTCTAGATCTTTAGCATGTTTGTCATGTGTCTTTGTACTGTCATAAGCTGATCTACTTCAAACTCATCCAGCACATGTTCCTCCCTTCCCAAATGAATTGTCAGCGACTTACCTGTCCTTGGAGGATTTTTCAGTCACTGTGGTATTTACCTGTCTCTGCACTACAGTCTAAGGGTGACCAGCCAACCTAAAAGCTGCACTCAGCCATCAGCCTGCACCCAGAAGCAACCCCTGGCCTTGGCTATGTTTGTGGTCTACTTGAGAACTCTTGTATGTAGTTCAGGGCAGGGTCCACATAAAGCATTAAGTTAGCTGGTCAACAGTGATGACATTCTTACCTTCATTGCAAAGGCTATCCCATTTTGTTGCTGCAGTTTTATTGTTGGTTTGTGTCATTAAAAATCTTTCATGCTGCGAACCCATACCCTGGCTTGCCTCTGGAACGTGGTTCTCTGCCTTACTTGCTGATTTTACAAAGAGCTTTCCTTCCCTGCCTTCCTCCTTTTACTTTCTGTTTCTCCTTTTTTTATTTTTAACGATACCGTGTTGTTGTGCCCTCCATCTAATTAATTTCTCTGCTTTTTAGAATCCATTAGCAGTTTACCACGTTTCTTGTATAGAGTTACCAATAAAAGCAGTTGGCAAATAGTTTTCCTTCTGTGCTTCACATGGTGATCTGTAAAGGAGGCTTCAGCTGTTTGATCCCATTGCCTTCAGTGTCCCTTAGAGGCATATTTTGATACTGAAGAGCAGCCTGAATCTAGTGAGGCCTTTCAGCAATTTCGTCACATTCATCTGTGTCCTATTTCAAATTGCAGTGGGCTTATTGCTGTGGGCCAACTCTGCAAAGATTTGCAGCAAGGCTACAAGAAAATAATGTGTAGTTAATAGAGAAGTCTTTTCATCTTTTTTTTTCCCCTAAAAAAAAAGAAATACAGGGGTATAATATGCTCTGATACAATTAACACTCTTGATAACAGTCTCAGTGTTTCTAGTTATCATTTGTAGATTCCTCCACAACTGCAGCTACTGGATTCAAGTATCAGAGTAGGGGAAATACAAGAATCCCTTGTCTTGAGTAAATGAAGAACTCTATTTCAAAAATCAGGAAGGCAATCCTTTGTTTCATTCTCTGGTGTGACATAACATTTCATAACACCTAAATGTTTATTTGAAGGTATTTCTCATTAGCCTGATAATGCCACAAATACATACAGTACAATGTAAGCAATAGTTAATGCAAAACTCCAAGGACTAAAAGACACATCACAGAGGGCTGCTAAGTGAAGGCTCAGTAAAGAAAATGTTAGTATGTTAACATTTTAGTTGTAAAGTTAGTTACAAGGAGTTGCATAAGCAACACAAAGACAGTGCTTTGAATTTGCATATCTTGCTCTTCTGCATTTATTTCTATACATGTCTAGTCGAACACAATGTCATCATATACAATTTTACATTTTAAATATGTACAATAACATTGCCCATTTTCAGACTGATTCTTTAGCAGAATATTTGTGTGTTTTGTTTTCATTGTGACTTTGCAGCATGTTTCTTTAGTTTGAGAAAACCCAGTCAAAGTTTCCTTTAATACCATAAAGTTTACAGGCTATGTTCAAAATACAAAACACTTTTAAAAGTGCAGTTAAAATCAGGGCTTTAATTTATTAAAAATTCATAAAGATTAAAAACCAGAAGGCTAGATTCTCAACAGAATATAATTTATTGTTGTTTTTATTTGAATGAGCTACAGCGATTTATCAAATTGAGAATCTGGCCTTTCCAATATAACATTAAGATAAACTTTGCTGTTAAGAATTATTTGTTCAAAGACAGCAGCTCCCTTCAGAGAATAGTAATAATACTGAAGTTTACCTATTCACTTTTAATAACATGTTCACAGAACAGAATGAAAAGCCATTCCA